GCACGAGCGTTAAAGCCGGGCTGGTGGCAGGAAAAAAAAAGATAAATCTCAAGCAGGTGCGGCTTCTTCCAAAAGGAGGGAGCTCCCTCAAGGTAAACTGTTGATTTGTAAGATAATCAGGGGAGAGGAGAGTAAGGCACACCTTACTACACACTTGACACAGATTTTAGCATCACTAATAAAACCGCACAGGCTTTTGAACCTCAAGACAGCTTCGGGGAAGGGCTGGTTTTGCTGTGAGTAGGATGCGCCGGTTTTCACACGCGCAGCGGCGGTGAAGCTGCACTAAGTCCGGTATTAAAGGGCAGTTGTGACACCCGAGAGGCTTCACGTCTCCTATAGCACGACCCTATATCCCTAACCTACGCTGTGCTTTGCATACTCGGCATAACCTACACGCGGGTGCCAGGAGGAGCTCGTTTTTATCAGCCTCTCTTTTTTTTTTTTGCGAGCCTGCCTTCAGCTCTGCATGTGGTGAGGTCTTATCTCTCACACAACTCAATCAAAAAGAGTAGAAAAGTTAATATCTAGCACAAATATTTATGCATGCTTATATGCAGGGAAGATAAGTGGATTATTTATACGCCTCTCGGTGTGTATGTGTAATGCAGATACATATAATTCATAATTCCATCCATACTATTCTGGTTATGTTTTTTGGAGAAGATCCAACTTCTCTTAGCATAAACACGCACATATCCTAAACATACTAATGGCTCTAAATTTTACTTTTCAATACAGTAACAATAAATCAAAAAAAACCACGCGGAACACCAAAATGACATCAGTTCACTTGCAGTGAGGGGAAACTTCAGTCTCCCCTCTCTCCTTCCTCAGGAATAGCTTGTCTCTTTGTTCAGTTCTAACCACCTTAAGGTAAACCTCGCTATGTCACTCTTAAATTGCTCTGTTTTAATAATAATAATAATAATAACTATTATTATTATTATTGTTATTATTATTGTTATTGTTATTATTATTATTTTCCTCATCGAGCGTCCTATAGTGGCCATAAATAAGCTCGAAAGGAGCGAATTAGCGGCAGGATGGAGCAGACGTGGAGTGGGAGAGCACAGGCTGGAAATTCATAGCAAGGAGGAATGGGACTGCCCGGGAGAACCACACACGTGTACATACATATAAACACACACATAGATACACACACATAGATACGCGCACATATGTATGGGATCCTAACCGTGCCAGCGTTCATCCTAACCCGCCCTGAATTTCACCTCTGCAAGGTTTTCCCACCTGATCTCGAAATTTTCTAGGTTGTTTTTTTTTTTTTTCTGGGTAAGTTGTTTGGTTTGTGGGTTTTTTTGATTCATAAAATGTCAGACACGAGTTCAGAGCAGGCAGAGGTGTGAAGGGATCTGCGACTCTCAGCTTACCTTCCACCAGGGAGGTGAGTAAAGTGACATTTGCGGCCTTACGCCTGCCGGCTGGTAAATTCAAACCGATTTTTTCTAGCCTTTCTCGCAAAGATCTCCCCCCGTTTTTCGATTTGGCTCTAGAATTGCAAAGAAATTAACATCGTGATTAACCCCGCAGTGTTCCTGGAAGAAACGTTTAGTCTGTGCAGTCAGTGGAGCCTGGGGAGGGTTTTTCACTCGACGTTAAGGACTTCGGGTGTGTTGATTTCTGCTCGGGTTTACTAAGATTTGCTTAATTTCTCCCAGGGGTCGGAGCGGGGATGAACCCACTTTTCTCCCTATTTTATCCAGGGAAATCAAATAAGGCCAGATAGCGATAATTAATGGACAAGGTTCTGATGTAGAGAGCAAATGGGTTCCTACTGTATGACACTAACTCATATTAGGATGGAGTGAGATGGGCAGGAAGGTAGAGGAGGGGAATCAAATCCTCAGTTATTTCAGGAAAGAGCCAGAATGGAAAGAAAAACAAGGTGTGTGTGTGGGGGGGGTGTCGAATTTGAAAGGCTCTAAGGGAGAATGTGTGTTCCTGTGGATGAATAGAAAAGGAGTAGAAAAGGAGGAAAATATTTATGAAACTTCAGAAACCCTTTCGAACTTGTGTGTGTGCGGAAAGCCGATGCTACAGAGGAAGAGCTCACCTGAAGGCTGGGTGCGTTATACAGAGGGAACTGAGTGCCTGAAGGAAAATTTGAATATCTGTCGGAGGTTACTGATAAGGGCAATAAAAGGATGAGCGAGCTATAGGTGGGAAACGCAGAGCTATTGTTCGGACGCCTATACATATGTAAAGCCCCAGGGATGAAATCTTGCCACCTGCGAAATGAGGGAGAGTTTTGGCACCTAAGATCCGAGTCCGTCCCAAATATCTCGTAGTTCTTACTTAAAATTTATTTAAGAATTATCAGTCAGACTTAGCGAAAGGAAGTCAGAAACGACAGAGTAGCCAGACTGGCTTCCCACTATTTTATATCAAAGTAAATAAGGCTGGATGGCAGAATTGCAAGAGAGTGATATCTCATCTGCTATGAACCAAAAGCTTGTCTAAAATTTAGATTCAAGATAGGAACTGAAGTCAGCAGCAGCCAATGATTATGGCTTGGGCCATCTCCAGAAATCCACTGAAGTTCAATAACGATGTTTCTTTACCTTGATAATTATATTTTCTACAGTGTGTCTCTCAGATGTTCTGCTGTTCCATTTGTAGTTGTACAGAATGAGCAGGCAGGTTAGCATCTGTAAGTAAAAATCTCTGCTGCTCTCACTGGCAAGGATCACAGCTAAACATTGATTACAGACATTCACGTGGAACAGTATCTATTTTAGGAGACCCTAATTCTCACATGTATTTTGGGGTAACTGACCGCATGCAGCAGGGCTTTCCTCCTCCTCTCTAGACACGGAGCTAGAGCTCCTGCCATCAAGGATTTTTTTTTTTTTTTTGAAAAAAAGAGATATTCAAAAGACAACTTAATTTTAATACACCTTAGAGTCAGCCTTGCTACAGGACTTGGCAAATATTTCCTCCTCTAAGATCAGCAACTTTTAAACATGATCTGAAATTTATTCAGGGCCAAATTCATTGAATTTGTTTCTGTCCTGAAGTTATGTTATATCTTCCAGACTGGCATATTCCTCACACATAGAAAATGAAGTCTTATCCCTTCTCAGCTTTCCACTGGCTCGAGAGAACTGGTACCTCATAACGTATCATGACTTCTTTCCTGTTCTGACCAGAGATAGAGCTTTAGCTCACCTTTCTCACAGTGACAATTCGCAGTCCTTCAGTCACTGTTAAGAAGATAAAGGCCTTTCTCCTGTTAGTCTTTCCAGCTGATGACCTCAGAGCTTAAATTCTCCTTGCTGGTACCTAAATGCACATATCCCACCTGATATGATGGACTGGCAACCAGGCCTTCAGGTTATTCCTTGCTCCTCATTTTCCTCAGTGCCAATAATGCCAATAATTTTGAGGTCTTCAGCAAAATCCACCAGGACATTAGCGGGTGCTTTGCACAAACGTTAAACAACAAAGGCCTCAAGACCAACTGTGAGTAATTCCTTTGGCAACCTTCTCTAGATGAAGGGTTAAGTTTCTGACCTTCAAAGCTATCTGTTGATGGCTTTTCTGTAGTCAGGTACTTACCTATCTTACAGGTTGCCTATTAATCCCCTGCCAATTTCAATAATGTCTTGTGTGGCACCATGTTAATTGCCTTATCAAGGGACTTTATAGATTTCTCTAGGAAATCCCTAGAAATACTTCAGTTCCTGAAATACATCCAGCTCATTCTGGAACATCTAACTGCAATATGCCCATCATGGCATTTTATTTCATCCACTTGCTGAGAAAGAAGGGGGAGGAGAAGGAGAAGAAAAGATAGAAGGTGTGTGCATGAACTTCTTGTCTCAGTTCTTTCATTTTGAGATGCTTTGATAGAAAATGTAGAGGGCCAAACCTTTCTCTAGTCTCCATATGTTCGTCTCAATGTCTAAACACAACATATTTTCACCTTACCCTGAACATGACACACATACGCTGTGACAATAAGGCCAATATATATTTGCAATCATCTTTACCGTTGATGAAATATCTCTGGTGCATGGATGGATGCCTACACATGGGCGTGTTCACACACTCACTCCAGTCTCTTACCTTCTAAGTACTCCTCCTAGGAGGGACGCATTCAGACACTCTGGAGGAGAAAGACGTCTTTGAACTTCTCCCACAGTTACTTTATACTTTGAAGTTGAACTAAGCAAAGACAAGCGGCCAGGTACAGAGCAAAACACCTCTCCGGTATTGACTGAAATTCCACCCAGGAAGCCATCTTTATTCATCATCAAAGAAGTCACAGATTTTGGAGGAACCGGAACTGGAGAAAGAGGAGGGGAAGAGGGGAGAGAGAAACCATCACGCCACGAAGGATCACAGGATAACCACAGTCTCTCTGACATGCACAGAACAGCAAAATGAAAGGGAATTTTGAATCTCTGGCTATCTCCAGCAACCTAAAGGGTGCTGCTCCCCCAACCTCTTAAGAAACTGCTCCATGAATGATGGATGGAGAGAAAGGTGGTGCAGTACAGCCTCTATGCAGGGTTTGATCATTGGGAAAGAAAATACATATTGGCAAGCACCTGGCAACTTTCGGGTTTGAGCCTGTGTCTCACCCAGAGCCCCCCGATGCCTTTTGTACAACGGACAGCGCCTTTCTGGAGGGGAAAAAAAAAAAAAAAAAAAAAAGGACAATTTACTTTTTTTGCTAATGTTTCCATTACTGCTAAACTGAGCCAGGAATAAATTCACTAGATGAAGGGAGTTGCTGTCTTAAATAAGGATCAAGGCTGGAGGATACAGCAACCAGAAGACAGCTCTGTTATTGCTTTGTGTTTTTATTAAGTCTGGTTTATGAAATGAAATGAGTCTTTTCCTTCAGAAAAATGAACACTAGGAGGAAAAAAAAAATCTGGTCTAACCATGGTGTTCACCACCTTGATCATATTGTGCTGTCTGTGAAGTAGTAGGAACTCTCCAGTCCCTAAATAAAGCTGATCTAGTTACTGTAACACATATTCAAAGGTAGTTATGGGGAAAAAAAATAAAACCAAAACAATAAAGCCAAACTAAACAGCATAAAACCGTGTTATTCTGTCCACGAATATAATTCTTTTCTCTGAGAAACTAGTGAGGTTGTTTTAAGAGTAACCAAGGGGATTATAAAGAACAAATTTCTATAATAGCAACCAGATACACTCAGAAATAAACAAAACAAACCGAAAATGGCAAACTGGAAATGAGAGCCATTCCCCCGTGACCTGAATTTTGTTTACAAACGAACTCAAATCTCTCCCTCATAATTGTGTGTAACTGTTATGATTTACAGCAGGTGCTCTAATCAATCAACCAATCACTTTAATTTATAGGGAGTCTCGCTGCATTTTCCCAGTTGTTTCATTTCTGCAAGTAATTGATAACAAACCGTACTTATGGTATGTTTTATGCAGGAGTTAATAAGAGCTGACAGCTGCTACTGCTGCTTCCTCTCGGAATCGCGGCAATACGCCTTTCCTTATAGAAAATATACCCCGAAATCGAGAGGTTTGCTGGTGGTAAAGTCCTAGCAGTCCAGCGGGCATGTTTCAGAGGAGAAGACTAATTGATTACACACCCTCGTCGAGCAGATACTGCTTCACAGTCTCCCCTTTCCACTCAATCAATTGCAAAACCAATTCGGCAAATAATAGGGTTCTACCCTGCACATATGCCAGCTATTTAGGTAGTTATAATACATGTCAGTTAAGTCATAAAAACCCCCTGTTTATTTGCAACATATCTGGAGAATCAAACCATTAGAGTTGAGGGGATATTTAAGTCGTCTGGAGCTGCTAAACAATAAGATCGGGTATCCTAATATATTACCAAGTGCTAACTACTGGGCAATTGCCAATTTTATAACCTCAGTGTATGGAATAGACACAACCGTGTTTCACTGTTTTTATTACAGATCATTTCCTACTGCCAGACCAGACCCCCACAATAAAAGCTCTGTAACAGCTAAAAACCAAAAGGCATGTCGATTTTAGATATACATATTGCTTCGTATGCCTTGTATATAGTCTCCAGTATAAACAAATTATTTTGAGTGGCTTTACTTCAGGGAATAAGAAAGTGAAATGGATTCCTGTTTCTCTATTATTTTTAGTTAGGCACTTTATGCAGCTCATAAAGGCGATTTCAAATAGTTTGAAAACGGCAAAGAAACAGTTATAAAAGAGTTAGAGGCCCGCTCCTGCTTTCGTTGCTATTAATAGGATTTTTTTTTTTTTCCATTGATTCTATAGGAAAAGACTCGTTTAGGGTATCAGAGGTAGTACTAGCAGACGAAAAAAAAAAAATAGAAAGAATCCTCTCTCTTCTCATTACACATAGATGTATCACTTATTTCATGTGCTGTGTTCTGCAACGTCATTCTAGTGAAGTATCAGGAAAAAAGTGGGGTAGGAAAAAAAAAAGAGTTATATTAGAGCAGTGCCACCAGACAGATTTTCATGACTGGCATTTTTTTTTTTTTCCTTTGGACAAACACACGGGCTCAGTGGTTCGAGTACACCTTTACAGTGGCTATATTTAGTGACCAGTTTATCAGGTCACTGTCCAGTGAACTGAGAAATTAAACAAGAGGCAGCAATTCCACGAACATCTGATCTTAGTCCAAACTCACTAAAGAGAGAGGGACCCGTTCAATGCTCAAATGTACCTCGCCCCACTCACTTTGGCCTTTTGGAGCACTCATTACATTAGTTAACCTTTGAAATATGGATTTTCACCTGCTCAGTACTTTTTTTTCCTTGCAAATTGCTTTTGGGAAGTAAGCTGGCTCCCCTCCCTGCTACGCTGAGAGCCCCTCAGCTTTTCTTCTACCACTGCCTCCTCGAAAAAGACCCTATGAACATACCCATCAGTTGGAGTCTAATAATTCTAAACCCATTTTAGAGGCTTACTAGGCGGTGTAAGCATATCTATTGCAATTTCATAGCTTCAGAGAGATGTAGTCTATCTAGACTCTATATCTTCTGTAAATTACCTAATGCTGCCTCAAAAAAAGTGTTTGCCATGGAATGAATTATCTCTATCTATATCGTATCTGTGTGTTTATCATGGCTATAGCTTTTCAGATATAGCCCAGGCATTATCAGAGATAATAAAATGTGGAGGTTTTAGTGGGTGAAGAGATATACACGTTCGTGTGTGCAGCTGCATGTGTCACATCCTTGCGTGTATGTAAATAATCTGAGTGGTGGTACAGTATATTTTTAGTCCATGTCAACTTTCCCAGTTGGTTGGGGATTATCATAACTGCTGAAATAGTACAGAATAACACAAACAGATATAGTCAGCGTCCCACCACTTCTTCTTGAACTTTATTCCATTTAGTTCGTCTTATGCCCAGCAGAAACTATTAGATTTTCTTTCACTCCCAAACTCTACTTGCTGTGTGTATGTGAGCATTCGCAAATGCATAATTCCCCCTTCCAAAATTTCTTCCTTTTCTTTCTCTCTTTCTTCTTTCTCTCTTTCTTTCTTTCTCTATCCCCTCTCCTTTCTCTCTTTTTTCCTCTCTTTTATCCTTTTCGATCCCTTTTTCTCCTTCTTTCTCTCCTTCTCTTTTTTCTTTCCTTCTCTTCTTCCTTTCTTTCGTTCTTCCCCCCCTTTCTCTTTCTTTCTCTCTTTATCTTCCTGTGGTTACTTCAAGCCTCTTTGTCATTTCTCCCCCTTCCATTTCTCTTCAGCTTATCAATAAACCGGGAGAGCAACAGTAGCCGCTTGATTTGTTAGTAATTATAAGCATACTGCTCCTGCAAACGGGATCTCTAGATGAGTGAGATCGCTTTAAAACGACAGCAGGAAATGGTGGGGAAATGGAGCATGGCGAAACTCAGCGTGAAGCTTTCAGTTCTTTACATGTTTACAATTTTCTGTGCATACATTAAGTCTTAGGGTTGGTTTGGGTTGGTTTTTTTTTTTTCTCCCCCTTCTCGTGGTGGTGGTGGTGGTTCTCTGTTGGGTTACTCTCCACAACCGCGTGAAAATGCGCACAAATGCGCACGCATAAGAGAAAATAGAAATAAAAGGGGCATTTCAGCCACGCTAAAAATAAATAAACAGAAATATGTCCTGAAAATCGCTGAATAGCGAGGCTCTATGCTATGGATATCGTTGCAATAGCCCTGGAAAGTAATATGATAGTTGATCAGTCAATCAAACAATGAATGAGAATAAGTATTTCCTACTAACAAACGTCACAGACAAACTGATTACTAATCAGCTGTCAAACTGCCTTCAAATCTCTTTATCTGCCTGGTGGGGTTGAAATAAGTAAAAAGTTCTTTATCAATTATAACACCAGGACTTTGTCGTAACTTCTGATTTGGTCTGACTTGGTAACCAAACCTAGAAAGTCCAGGGACAACGTCAACCCATTGCCACTCAGAGACCCCGTTCTTATTTTAATTTTAATAAATAAATACAGAAAGTGCGTGTTCACGTTCCCTTCTTTCCCGTCCCTCTCGTCTCCTCCTCTTCCCCCTCCCTCTCCTCCACCTCTCCCTTAACCCTGAAAGCTGGGACTAAATTTCCAAGTGAGGCGTATTCCCTTGAAATTGTTTTGCATTCAATTAAAGGGGATCATAAGGTTCAATGGGTAATCCAGGAAAAAGCACGAAACTGAGTGGCAGCAAAGCAACATCTCCGATTCCCAGATTTATTACCTGAAAAGCTGAGGCCAGAGTGGTTTTCCGTTAATCATTTATCCGAATACTTCAAGAAGGGGTGGGGAGGAATCTTATGCTGTATTATTAAGAATTTTTAAAAATATTAACACATCTCCTTTCATATGTTTCTTTAAAACAATATGAGCGTGTCTGCAAGGAGACAATGAATGAAGGTGTTGGGGTCAAAACGCCCTTTCGTGCTAAATCAGATGTGCGCGTGCAGACGGTCGTCAGAAACAGCTGAAAGTAAATAAATACATCAGGACAATTTTAAGGTCACTGACTCTGCCCCAGAGTCACAAAAAATTAACTTGGGACTCGGGCCGCGCAAGATTTTGCAAGAGAACAACTTCTTTCGTCATAAACGATGCCAAGCAAATTTCAGACGAGCAGTTGACAAGGGGACCCGATTTTTTATTCCTGACACACGGAAAACCTTCCCTTCATTTCAGCAGAAACACAGGGAAAAGGCCTCAAAACGTGTAGCCGGTAAGCTCTCAAAGCCGAGTTAAATCTGCTATTAATGCTCTCGGTGATTATTATCATCTTGATGATTTATCTGGCTCCCTCCCTCTCACTTCCACCACCCAAATCTTAATGGAACTAGGAGCTAACGATGATTTTTTAATGTCTCGTTGGATTTTTAGACTGTTAATGTACCGCATCCTTCTCATTATTAGTTTATTGATTGTTCATTGACCAGCCCCCTTCAAATCGTATTAACCACCCTCTGCCAGTTTAGATTAGGCGAGTTTAAAAAGCACCTTTCATTATTTCACCGCCACCACCACCACCACAGCAGAGTTCAGCCTTGGTAGCTTAATGCTCGCTCTAATGGGGCAGCTAAGAGACGAGGGGCCACGGTCCCTGCCTATTGCATTAATAGCTCAAAGGGGGCTAATACAGAAAATTAGCCTTAAACGAGCTCTGGAGATCTCCAAATGAAAGAGCCATTTATCACGCTGGCTACCTTCACTCCACTCGTTTGCTCTCTCTACTGGGAACAACTCATTTCCTCTTAACTAAATTACTTCAGAAATGTCAAGTAAGCTCAGATAGCAAACATAACAAGAGACTGTGTATATGTAATCTATTGTGCGGGATCGATACGCGAGATAAATCGATCGCCGCGTATGAATCCCTATGCAATTTCCTTAATATTTTTGGCAATCCTTTTGCATAGATAGATAATTCCCTCTGCAGGCCTCAAAGACCATAAAGAATAAGACACTTAAAAATCCGGATGATATAATTAAGTTTAGACTTCAAATCTGCATCGTACTTTCCCCACTACATTGTAATTAAAGCATTTTAAGCGCTAAACTAGGTTTTGGTGAAGTAGACCCCCTCCAACCCTCGTCTAGCAAATATGTGTCACGGAGAGTGCTCCACTGCACAAAAAAATCAATCAAAACTTATCTGTCTGTCTATCTACCTATGCCATCCGCCTGCAATAGCGCCTTACAGAGTTTAAATAACTTACTCTTAACTTCAAAGTACATCCTCACAGCTACAAACTGCAGGGGACAAAGCGAAATTGATACTGGACCCTTTCTGTGCTGCTCCTTCTCCAGTCCTGATTAAATATTGTCTGCCACAAATGTGACCTACTCATTTCTCTTCCTCCTCACCCAGGAAACTCGCTGTGGAAAAAAAAAACAAAAACAAAAACCAAACAAAAAACACCCACAAAAAAACCCCAACCAAACAACAACAACAACAAAAAACCCAGACCCTGAGCTCGCAATATTCCTTTACTCCGGAAAGTTTCTTAGAGCTCAGCGTTATTTCCAAGGAAGAAAATAGTCCTACAGTGACTTTAAAACAGACGAATCTCGGGATCTTTTTTAGTAACCTAATTCTCAAAGTTGCATATGTATCCTGTTCATCATGGGTAAAATCAGAGAATCTCTTCCTATGGCTCCAAATGGGCACATATAAAGCCATATATGCCCAGGGCCGTTGCAATGCCCATGCACAATAACCACACCTTAATTTATACCTAATATTATTATCTCACTATTAACATTCACATTTTAGTGCTACTCGCCATCTAACCGTGCCACTCAGGGTGCACATTAAATGTCTCCGCTGTCCTCGTCACCTGAAGGAGGGAGAGACACAGGCAGAGGGAGAGAGGGGGTAAAAAAAAGAGTATTTTGGAGCGGGTGATCAACAGAAAGTGTTCTGCGAAAATAGAGATTGCCAAAGTAAAACGCGAGCACGGACAGACGTTAGAAAGAAGTGTCTCGACCACAAATCAAGCACCGATTAATCAAAGACACCCAAGAGAAAACATCGGGTGTGAGGTGTCAAGAGGGGGTGGGGAAAGGAGGAGGGGGGAAGGAGAGTGAGGAGAAAAAAAAAAAAAAAAGAGAAATATACAACCAAAAGCCATCAGGTTACAGACCCTGAGTACAAAACCTACTAAACATTCAATCTGAACTAAAACAGGATAAATAACTTGGGGGTTTTTGTAAGTATTTTTTTGTTTCGCAAAAACACCTTCGACTTTTCAACCGCCGGTCATGCACGATGCTGCAAAATAGGCTGTAAGTTTTCATCTATCCTCCTTCAAATAACTAGAACTTGATCGTACATGTGAGAAAAAGAAAGACTGTACATGGGGATTTAAATTAAAAAAACACAATAAATACACGGAAGGACCTCATGCTGCCTTGAACACATTTTAAATAAACACCCTCCCTGTTATTTTGCTTTACATTCTAGAAGATCATGTCTATTAAAGTATTTGTGCGCATTTGACAAATAATAAGGTCCTGGAGATAAGTGCTGTTGATAGGAAGCATAAGGGCCAGCGCTTCTAAGCCTCATCTCTGGTACTTAAAATTGAATCTAGAAATAGAAACTCCTTAGATAATTAAAGATAGCTTTTCCTACATTTGCAGTGTGTGATCTGTTTAATGTCTATCAGCATAACACAACACTAATCGCCGAGCATCTTCGAGTGACTGTCAGAGAAATGTAAAAAAAATTAAGCAGCTGCAATACGCCCAAAATGAGTTATTGTAATTACATTTAATTAGTTTAATTAGTTAATTATTTTGCTTACAGCTGTACAAGAGACTGCAAACATTTGTTAATATCACATTCCCTTTAACAGTATGGGGTGATTCTGCAGTTACACTAAATCATGTGCGCATATGTAGAAAGATTTAAAAAATGGGCATGAGGAAGGGGGGATTCTTGCAGGAAGGGGGAAAGGAGGTCGGGGCTGCCTTTCCATAGGCATTTCTTTCTCTCTCCTTCACGTTTTATTCGCCTGGGAAATGCATTTAAACCCCAAAGGGAATCAACCCCCTTCCCCCATTAAAAGCCAAGGGATCCCCATGGAGGACCATTGGGGGGTGGGGAAGGGAAAGGAGGTGGCCCTTGGAAACTGCATTTGAGCGTGGGGTGCTCCACTGGAGAGCATTTGTGTCATGAAACCCTTTGAAGGCCGGGGTAGGGGAGAGATCAGCTTCTCCTTTCCCATCTCTTTCCTTTTCCCTTCCTTCTATTTGCCGATCCAATCAACTATTCATCTCGCTGCCAGGTACGCCTGCTTCCCGGATAAATTAATTGCCCCAAAGTAAAAATATATCATGAAAATATTGCTACACAGTAAAAGTTGTCTAGCTCGCTGGAATAATCCATACCTTTTTTAATGACAGACTGGTCCAATAAGTTCATACCGCTGTTATTGGCATCTTCAACTGACTGTGGATATAAAAACATCACTATTCAAATTGACTGGATATTAAAAAATCGCGTACATGAATCATGTCATTCCAAACTGGAGTTTCTGTTATTTCCATTTATATTAATTCACTAGGGGAGGAAGGATTTTTTTTTTTTACTATTAGTAGTATTATTCCCCCAAATTGGCAAGGAAATGAAATTCTTGCAAATTATATAGACTTCTAACAAAACAAAACAAAAAATGGTGTGAAGCATATGGGGTGTAATACTGATTTTGTTATCTTATAAAACATAGATATCACATAGTCTTCTTTGCATTCGATAAAGCTTTATATTTCTTCCTTTGAAAATTTGGCAACATCTGCAAGATCTATTGCATGACATAAATGAACACAATTAAGGACAACTTAAATTCTCCCTCCTTCTCCCTCTCCCCTCCCAGTTTTGGGTTTGGTGTTGGTTTTTTTTTGTGTGTGTGTGTGTGTTTTGTTTGTTTGTCTAACCCTTCTACATCTTAATAATTCAAGGGCCATTTACTTTTTATATATAATAGTTTACATTATGGACTTTTAATTAAAGCCTGAGCAATTCGGAGTGCAGCGCAACGCCCACATCGTGAATAGGGTACAGGCAGAAAGAGATTTACAGCTCCCGAGGTTGCTTCCATGTCCTGAACTAGTGCGGACGGGGAGGGAGGGGGGAGCGGGATACGCATTATGAAAAGTCTGAACTATTAAATTGATTGCCTAGAAAAAGTCTCCCGACTTTTCAAAGCCTTTTTTCCCCCCTTTTTCTTCTTGCTTTTCAGCCCGCTTTGGAGCACACCTGTTATTATGGCATTAACTTCTTTAGCGGGGGAGAGAACAAAGACGGGCACAGAGGACACAGCAAATGTTGGGTTTCGTTTCTCAACGCGAAAGTGGGATGTGCAAAACCAAGCAAACAAACAAAAATTACCGCTGAATCTGCGGTCGGCACAGCAAAATCAGCTCTCAAAGAGAAGGAGGTGTCGTAAGCGCAATTTCTTGCAGGATTACGACGGGTTCCGTTTTAGGGTAAATTCTGGGTTTTGGAGAAAGGGACGACCCGTGGGTTTCTTGGGTTTGACATTTTGTTTTTCTTCTTATTATTTAGGGTTTGGGTTTTTTTCCGGGTTATTGCATACTTGGGAAGTTGTTACGTTTTTTCCCTGATAAGGAAAACATCTTTACAGCAAAGCAATGATTTCCTTCCCTATTATTTTAACTTTATCTTTGCTACACCGAGGGGCTGAGTTTATCTGGATCCAGCCCTTATCTCCGGCGCTCTCTGCTCAGCAGAGACGTCTCAAGATGGAATACGATTTAGGAGAAAATTACATCTCCCAAAAATGTGACGGAACAACAATTTCTACGAGATCTTTCCTTTCATTTTGCTTGAATCCA